CTGGTGATGAAATTTGCCATGATTTTGTGAGATCTAATGTTACGAAGTCGTTGTCTGTAGAAGAATTAATACCATGTCCAACTACTTTGATTGAAGCCCTTACTCCAAGTATCCGTAGTTTGCCCACTCTTTGTGGTCGCTTCTCCTCCATATATGTATAGTGTTCCATTGACATTCGCAGCTGAGATGTTCTCGATTAGTTATATCCACCAATCCAAGCGAACAAGCAAAAACATACTCATATGACTCCATCTTGTGCAAATCGAAGTAGGACTGTCAGCCCTTCCCTCGATCATACTCCCGTTATCCACAAATTCCGAGTCCCTTATAATGCCCGCATCCGCACCATTCCCCTTCATAACATTCGAGTTACTGTTCTGCCTCCCAGTGTACCCAAATGCAGGCACAACCACCGCAATCAGAAATGCAAGTAGTGCAACTCTCGGCATCGTAGAGAATGGTGTAGGGGGTGTATTCGAAGTCGAAATGGTGGGTCTGCCGCTCTTCCCAATCTTTGCTGCCCTCGACTCATCATGTGGTTCTTTTCTTCCTCTCTTTTCTCCTGAAACTGGCGAAGTCGGTATGTTGGTCGATGTTCCATTCCACGTACTTCTTGTCCTCAAATCGGTCCCTACAGTTGCGAATTCCCCTCCCAGACTCCCAACATCCACTCTTTCAATCACCTCATCATCCAATCCCTCTTCTCTAAACCTTGACTTTCTGACCGTCCTGGTCTTCTTCCCAGTAAATCCATTCGCCTTTTCGCATTCGCGCAATTGATTTGCCACATTTGTCGGGACAGCAGGACCGCGAAAGGGTACATGTATCGTCTTCGACCGATCAATTGTAAAACCACCCATCTTCGTTCGTTCCTCCTGTCACCAGATCCCTAGAAATCTTGAATCTCCGTAAACACGTAGGACTGTACTCAGAATCGCGATTTGTATATGAATTCAAGGCCCAAAAGATGTGAGCAAGAAATGGTCAATCAATCTCAATCAAATCATAAAACATGCAAAACACAATTGATATGTATCATAAAAAGCCTTCCTCTCATCGAGAAGTAGAGTTGGGGAAATTGATGTATACCGAATAATAACTCTCTAAATATCCAAACAGACCAATATCTTACTATACAATACCTGCATATGATAATCATCCAACTTCCTCGACTTCACTGTGATTCTTACATCATACTTAACGCGTGGGAGCTTTCAGGCTTTTCAGCTACTAATCAGTTAGGTAGCCCCTGCAAATGTACCCTATAAATGTGGTATAAAGATGGTGAATCCACAGGGGTTTCGATAGTGATATTCAATATTGATTGGTGACTGTGTATGGCATTTGGAGAGAAAAAAGCAGGTTCTGTCTGACAACGATTGAAACGTCCTAGCACTAGGGGATAAATTCATAAATGAAGGGGCCGATAAACTCAGATAAGCCTAAAAAGGAAGTTCCTCATTGACCACTACTACACCTTTCCCATATCATAGTTATTGAATATCTGAGGATATATAACAATCCTGCCGTTCACAATCAATAGGTCATTCATTAATCAGAGATATCAATCATCAATATTATCAATTCATTCATCCTACGGCTAAAAAATAGAAAATTAATTTTTTCATTGCGCTCATTGATCATGTAACCATCCAACCCCCCCTATCCTAATCCATAGGAAAATTCACGCCCACCAACTTAAAGAGATCCGTTAATTCGCTTTCGATTCGAGATATTAGACGCCTAATGATGTGGTGGTACAATTTACAGCCTTCTGCGCTGCAAGTTGAGTCATAATAACCCATTGATAGGTTTACAACTCCTCCTTGATAGCATGACCAGCCTTTTGTGCTGCTTCACCGGCACGATTGGTAGCATAGGTAGCTCCCTCTTTGACAGCATCGGCAGCCTTCTCGCCTTGGTAAGAAGCTTGTTGTTTACCGGAGGCAGCGCCAATAGAGAGTTGGTTAATAACCCATTGTGCACCGTTAGAGAGTTTAGCCCAAAGAGTACCTTGTGGTGTAGTGGTGCCTGAGTATCGTTAGCGGTCAATCAGATTCAAGGAATGACAAAATTTCTTACCATATTTGAAGTAGTTGGCTTGGTTGCGGACGAAAGCAACAAGTTCGTTCTTAGTGCTTCCTTGTGGAACAGGGACACCATAGCTATCAAGATAAGCCTTCAAGTCGGAATCAGACCAAGTCTCGAATGTGGCATCCTTGGCAGCATCAGTTTGTTGAGTGAGATAAGATGTGACACTAGCATATGCAACACCACTGGATTTGGATGCCTGAGCATAAGAATCTTGTGCAGCGCGAACAAGTTCGTCACGGGTAGCTCCAGACTTCTCCGCTGCCTTCTTAGCGGCAGCATCACCAGATGAAGCTAGGTAAGCCTTCAAGTTGTCCAAAGTCCAGGTGTCAAAGGTCCAAGCAGACCACCCTGTAGCAGCCTTGTGCTTGTGTAAACGGACGGCAGCAATGATATCGTCTTTCTTTCCAGATGATGGAACTGGGACACCTCTGGCATCAAGATAAGCCTTGAGGCGGGATTCGCTCCATGATCCAATAGCAGCATTGAAAGCATCTTCAGCCTTTAGTTGAGCATCATCAGTAGCCTTAGCAAATTGATTTCCGGCAGAGCTAGTGGCAGCACCGAAAGCAGATACTCCAGAAGAGCTTGCCTTGCTTGCAGCGCTCTTAGCAGAAGCTGCAGCAGTATCTCCTACAAGTTGAGCCTTGTGCTTACGAGCGATAGCCAATAATTCATTTCTCTTGCTTCCTTGAGGAACCTTAATACCATTCTTGTCGGCCCATTCCTTAATTTCTGTACCTTGTTAGTTGGTTGGTCATTGGAGAAGATAACAACAAACTTACGAGAATCAGACCAGGCACTGAGAAGCTGCTCGCTCAATGTCTCGGTAGCAGCAGAAGCTGAAGCAGAGGCAGAGGCTTGAACATCCGCAGTTTTAAGGCTGGCAACACGGGCATTACGGCGTACACTAGCAATCAGCTTGTCACGAGTGGATGGTTGAGGTGCTGGGATGCCATGGGTATCGAGGAATTCCTTGAGATCTGTGAAAATATCAGTTTGTGTAAAGATACATCAGTATTGCCATCTTAATAACGTACCGGACTCAGACCAGGTTTCATAAAGCCAGTTACCGGGGTAGGCAGCAGTCTCGCCTGCCTTCTTGGCAATGGTGTCATAGTTGGAACGAATCTTTTGAAGAAGAGAATCTCTCTTCCTTGGGTGTGGAACGGGAATGTGATGGTAATCAGCAAATGCCAAAAGTTGAGAATCTGTGAGGATATTAGTAAATGCTCGAAGGCATCTTTAGCCATTGGCAAACTTACCAGTCCAGCTATCAAAAACCCAATCTCTAACACTTGACCAAGCATCCTCTGCTTTGTCTTCCGCCTCGTACCAGTAAGCCTTGACTTGAGAGATCAAGCCATCCTTATTGGCCTCAGCAGTGTTCTTAGTCTCAACACCCTTCTGTTTCAAATAAGAGTTGAGCTGTTTCGTGTCCCAATCATTATATGGCGAGGCAACCTTTGTTTGCCAGTTCTCCTTCACCAAGTTTTCCAAATCCTTACGATCGGCAGGAGTTGGGTATGGAACATTGTTATCGGAAAGCCATCTCTCGAGTTCGGTTTCATGCCACTTGTTGTAGACTAGAAAGATGATGTATTAGTAAAGGCAGTAAGTAAGCATGGGGCGAAATAGACATGGGAAGTGATGTGTGCAAGCCCATCCATTGCCTAAGTCAATGATTTGATACCGTCCGGAGGTTCAAAAACACGAAATGTGGCAAAATGATGATGATATCAAACAGAATGGATGAAAAGGGTAACATACCAGCCTTACTGAACCAGCTACTAGCTACTGTAACTTCTGCTGCCAAACCCAACACCAACAGCTTTGTAAAGAACTTCATCCTGTGTGATGAGTTCTACTATTCCTTCTTACTCTTCGTATCTTGAGCTTCAGAGTTCTGGGTATCGTTGCAAAAGAAAATGAAAAACTTCACAAGCAATTCGTGGTATGGTCTTGAAATTTTAGAAGAGGAGAAGGATTGATGGTAGCAGAAGAAGTTATGTTGTTGACGTTGCACACAATACCTATGTGGCTGGAGCAAAGCTTCCGCAAAAGCAAGAACAAGTGACGTAGCTTTTCTATGCAACCAATGAATTTATGTGTGAGAATCAACAAAGAGAAGCTAAGGAATTTTCTTCCAAGGTAATTGGTTCATTTCATTAGAAAGTCGTGGAAAAATCTAGATTTTCCTCTAATGGAAAAGTTGGAAAAGATGGGAATTTTAGTAGGATACCAATCGTTTTGACGCGTTTCTCCTCTCATCTTCACTGGGAATCCAACTGTTTTGTTGACGTTGATGTCATATTGTCATAATTGTCATGCCAGGGTGATGTGCGAGAGATGTGGCTTGAAAACGCCCAGAAGGGATGCACGGACCAAGATGTATATTCGCCATCTCTAATAATGTGGGGTAGCTATGGATGAGAGCTGTAAGATTACGTGCGTGCGAAGTGAAGTCTGAAGTGAAGTCTGAAGTGAAGTCTGAAGTGAAATCTGAAGTGAGGTCTGAATGAACCGTGAAGAACGAAAAGAGTAATCGGACCAAGAAGGGAAATCATATCAATTGAATGCTGATAATGACTTCAAGCACCGATTATCATCTACTAAGCTTCTCAAAGTTTCGGTAGGTAGCCAAAGCAAGCTTTGAGCGAGTACAAGTACATCCATATTGCGGAATGTGATGTTCCTGTCTGACGTGGGAAATACATAAGATTGAAATTGGGTTTGAAATAATATTTATACAGAATCTTGAAAGGAAAATATCTTCGCCAAACATAACATAGCATTAACCTCTTATTTGCTCCTACATGACCTATCAACAAATTATCCATTAGCTTCAAAACATGAACTTTGATCAATTTCATAAACTCACCACATCAAAGCTCCTATCAATCTAATCCTTAGACCTTCTGTGCACCTCTGTCATGTCCCTTTCTGAACTCCCTGTTATGCTTCTCAACCTCAGCTTGTTTGCTCGAACTCTTCACTCCCGGCTCGTCTTCAGAATGAATCTTGGGTGAAGCTCCTTTGACACTCTTCTCCTCTGGGTTCTTATTCTTACCTCCGTTCTCCTTGATAGAACCACCTGTAGGGCTGGATCCAGTCTCCTTTGCTTCCCTCGATCTTGATCCTCCAGATTGTGCCGATGCATCTTCAGGAGATTTTGGACCACCAGAACCAGAACCGCCTTTTGTTGGGCCGGCACCGGTTCCTTGTCCCTCAGATACTGGCTCAGGACCAGGGTGTTCTGCATTATGCTTTGTGTTGTTTGAGGCACCTTGATCTTGAGGATTCTCGGCCATTGGGTGGCCCTTTCCATCTCCATACCCCTGAGTCGCAGCTCGGAGTGGTGTAGAAGAAAAGGCTCGAATGGAAGCCGGCTGTCGGCATTGAATGGTTCGGATAGAGGCCATTGTACGGCTAGCAGAATGGAGGCATCGAATGGAAGGCATGATGAGTATAGTAGATTGAATGGTTGGGTACAATAAAACGGTTGAAGTGTTTACTTTGTGAATGAACAATGAATGAGAAATATTTTTAGAAAGAAAGATCACCTACCTGTAAACAATGGACCATATTACATTCCGATCTGTACAATAGTGACGAATTGAGTTTCATGGTTCAATTACATCATGACATTGGCCTTTTGCCTTTGATCAGCTTGGACTCCGCTTGGAGTTGGCCTGGCAGCTTTTCCGTTTGTCGAAATCAATTCCCAAAAGGCGGGGTCAGCACGTGATAACGCTAATATTCTCGGTACTGCACTAAATTCCTTCTTTCCTCTTCGGTATTATTTCAAAACTAGAAATCCTTTAAATTTTTAATTGTCCCTAATCATTGCGTTAAGTACCGGTAGATGATAGTTAGTGACCCACCTATCACTACGTATCACTAAGGAGTATACAAGTCATCACCCAAGTTGAAAGAGAACGGAGAGATATGAGAAGATTCTTGAAGACACCAAAAGTATGGTAGTCTTGGAGGAACTAGCAACCACGAGCTAATCATTCGTCTGTGTATCTATACACTTTTCCCTGTAGTTGGGGACATGAATTGATCTTAAGTTCCCAAACTTCGAGCGAGGTAGGAACTACCAGGTAAACTCGAACGATAAAGTGTCCGGCGTATTGTCAACTGGAGGCGCGGTTATAATTTCCTTATGCCATCGAACTAGATCTAAGGTCCCTTTCGATCAACACTCTACTAAGCTCGTCATGGCTTGTATGCAAGGCCGTTGTATGATGTGCGATATTACCCACTTACTACCGTTTTAGCATCCAGCCTTATCTTCTGCTAAGGGGATCCTTCTCTCCCTCACATGTTACATGTCAATTTTCTTCATATTCTTCTTGCGTTCCATCAAAGAATGCCATTATGAAGTTTTCATGCATTTCTATCATCACCATTGCTGTTAGCACAGTCACTGGTGCTTATATTGACAATACACCCGCCGATAAAACGGTTGACAGTAAACTCTTCAATGGCACTACTTATGGACATCAAAATTCCATAGCAACTAGAAATGATACTACATCTACGAACATCACAACATTAGGCAGCTCATCCAACGATGAAGATGCAGCCACCGATAGCATAGAAGCAGAAAAAGAATATGAAGAAGAAGCTGCGGAAGTCGCCGAATATATTGCATTAGATATCCAAAATGACTTAGAGGACAACAACACCCTTCCACCCGGTAAACTATGTGCTACACGTCGTAAACCTCGATGCTGTGAAGTAGGCGGAAGAGTTTACAAAGATGGATGCGAGCGTCGTAAGTGATCTGCCACCTCAACCCTTTCAACATTCATGTCAAGAAAAGTTATATTAACTTCATACCAGTCTCGATGCCACTTCCAGCCAATCGCAATGAATTCCGAAGCACATGTGAGGAAGCGAATAAAGTCGCCTATTGCTGTAGAAACTCCGTCGACATGGTACGTTGTATTCCAGCCTGTTTGACCCCATTGTCCCTCCACTTCAGAACACCGGCTTACCATATTCTCTCTATATTTATAGGCTCAAATAGGAGTCATGTGTCGCAAAGCAAGAAAGTGAATGGATACTCTCAGAAGTTCGGACTGAGCATGGGTACAGAAAAGGCGTTCAGCATGAAAGATGTTTGTTGTAGCATACTATAGATTTGAATAAAATCTTGTCCACGACTTCAAAAATGCATCCATCTCATCATATCTATGTCGTCAACGTAACTTATTGAATAACACACTATTATCCCATTTTTCCAGAATCTACCTTTCTCTTACTTTTAGATTTTGCTTGAGATCACTACACCGATGAAGCGAATGTTTGAGCAGATATAAACATTTGAAATGAAGTAAAAAATCGATTATGGGACGAACATCCGAAAAGAGATAACGATCCGACAACATTTAATCACTTTAGAAACAATTCAATCATGCAACCACATCTGAATCTCTACATCGTCTTGAACAATTCACACAATCCCAATATTCGAAAGGACTCGAGGACCTGAATACCCCAGAGATGCTAACGCTTAGAATTTATTCTCCTTTGATAACCCCAGACCACAAGCGCAGTATAACCAGCATAGAAGTCATCTCACAGCAGCCATATAAACAACAAACAATAAACGAATTCGAATCCCCAACACATTCAAACCGGCAGAAAAGAACGGGAAAGAAAACTTTCCACAAGACATCAAAGGTACGATTAAAATTATTTATTTGACTATCAGGTTCATATCATAATACATGCGCCAATCGGCGTGACTTTTGTAGACTTTTGCAGACCTTTGTGAACTTTTGCCCGCCCGCCTGGTATCCTTCTCTCTTTTTGACTTTCCTTCTATTTATCCATTTAACTTTTGTGCGTGCCTGTTCCTGTTTTTGGGGGGGGCTAGCTATACCGGTAACTAGCACCGTCTAGCTATGCCAGACCATTTTTGTCTTCCTTCTATTCTTCTACTAAAAAGCATTCCTTTTCCCCCCGAAAACATAATAGACATTTCTAGTCTAACTATAACGCAACTCTGGTTCAGGCGTAAAACAATTCTGGCTCAACAATTGTAAATTTGACTTTTGGTGAAGAGTTTCGGTGGAGCGCACAATGATAACTTGTGGCCTGGTGCGTGGTGCATGTGAAGAATGACCGGAATGCGTTAGGTCTCAAATTTCGTACTCCGGACGCGCGGTGGATGTTTCAGTAATAGCGTCGTGGACTTGATTTGGTCACCCTTCATCCTTTTCCGCGGGACTACTCAAAATCCTCAATTGATAAAGTCAAGGTAGATGTGTATGACACAAAGATAAGTCGGCGCGACAGGTACACTTGGCGTGAAATCTCGTCCCTTCTTCAAGATCCTCTCGCCGAAAGCTTGATCCAGGGACTCCACGGCTCGATATTACCAAGACTTATGCTTGGTCTGATATTACTACTCCCCCCCCCTTTTCATTTCCACCTTAGACGGAATTCGAGTTATCCGCACAACTGAAGGAACTTGATCCTCCAGCTGCACTATAGGAGTCGATAATGGCAACAATCGATCCATAAGTACCAGCGACCATTAAAAATGTTCCGATGATAATAACGAAAATGCTCCAGCAGCACATGAAGATCCACGAACGCGATCTTTGGGTCTTCCTGAGGCTCCAGTTATCGTAAAACCACATGATACCGAATGGCTGGAAGTTGAAGAGGGTTCCGAAAAGAGCACCGATGAGGGAGATAAGACCGCCGAAGATTGGAATTGCACTTGCGATAACATAGGCGCAGATAATGACGCAGAAGGTGCAGCCGAGCCAGACCACCCAATGGGTCATGGAGTTGACAGTAAGATGCTTGGATCCACGGAGGAGACGAAGGAAGAGGAATTTTGCGGGAAGCTGTGGGAGATGTTAGAGAAGAAGAGATGAGAGATGAGAGCTGTACTTACATGAGAAAGCAAGATGGTGCTAACCAAGAGACCAGGAAGAGCAAGACCGTAACAGACTTTCTTCATGGTATCACCTGCGGAACCGAGAGCAGGTGACGCGACGTAGGAACCACAGAAGTAATAGACGACAATACCGATTGCAATGTACATAGACGTGATGAAGCCTTGACTGATATACACTGAACGAGTATAAGTCCTTGGATTGCGCATCTCAGAGTGAATGTTGAAGTAACCCGGAGTTCCAGCGAAAGAGAAAACAAGCGAGCCACAAGCAGATATAGCATCAGTGAATGATGGAGAACCAAAAAGCTTGAAGTCGGACTTGTAAGGACCTGTTGTAACAGGAGCATCGGCTGGTTTTCCTTGAACGCCGACAGCAATCGTGAGGGTAAGAACTTGCACGTGTTAGTCGGGAGTTTTTTCACAATGACGACTGGTTGACTTACTAGCAGTGATAATACCAGCTACACCAATCCATGCAAGCCAGGTGATCTTGCCTAGGGTTTGGATACTGGAGAAAATGAAGGCAATGATAGCAGCGACAACCACAAACACAGCAGTGCAAGTAGCATGAGTCGATAACGCATTCAAGGCGATTGAAACACTGAGCATACCAGATGCAGAGACGAAAACCCAGACTAGATGAACTGGTCAGAATCAAGCTCATCTATACAACTAAACGGGGCCACTCACAAAGAAAGAATGCAGCACCAACGATCTCACGAGCAACATTTCCAAAAATGATACCAGCAACATCTTCAATACCGTACACTTCTGGATGTATTCTCTTGAACACTCCAATCATGTACTGTGACCATCCCGTGATCGCAGCCATGGTGAGGACACATATGATACCGGGAATCATGCCCAACGTGTCAAAAACAGCTGGAATTGAAAGAACACCAAGACCTAAGTTGGTCTTGAGCATGAGGGCAGTTGAACCCAAAGCGCCAACCTGAAGATAATTAGCAAACATACACTTTCGTAGATAATTCTGTACATACACCTCGATAATTTGGTCCATCTTCATTAATCTCACCAAAGACTGCGTCATGAGTCACATCATTATTTGCTTCACTTTTTTGGCTCTTGTTGTCGTAGTCGCCCTGTTCAGCCTGGCGTGAGAATTGAAATTGGTCGGCCATTGCTCCCGTATTCCGAGCTCTATATTCACAATATGTCAAGTTGCAAGTCGTGGGAATTAAGATGTAGATGAGTGTTGAATTGGAAGAGAAGTCTTTTTCAAAAATATGACATTTTCTAGGCGGATTATATAATGGATCTGAAGCATTGAGTCCGCAGATAGGCTTATGTAAGCTCGGATCAGATGGAATTCCAAGCTCTATCCAATTACCAATTGGCTTGACTTGGATTTAACATCGAGTCGTTGTGAAAATGTGGAAATATTAGTGACATACTATAATTAAATGGAGCGCGCTATTATGTACAATATCAATAAAGTGGATCTAGATCGTACTATGACTAAATCCAAACCAGTAAAGACTCCTGACTTAGCGAGGCCAAGCGAGCATTGGCAGATGCAAAAGAACTTTAAGAAGACTTGGTGCAGACTTCTAATCTGGGGCCGCTCATGCACGACTCGAAAGTCCTTCTTTTTCCCCGCCACGGCGCTATTTGCTCAAGGCAATCCCGAATATTCTAGCAGGGTACCTCGCCGAGAACGGAGGTCCAATAGAAAGTGTGGGGAATGCGTTGCAACAAACTTGAAGAAATATTTTAGTATCCATCTCTCAATTGACGGAAGTCGGCGCATGGTAGATCTTGCAATCGGCATTTAACTCTTTGATACTATATGGGGGGCACATTGGATTGGACCCTTCTTGCAGGCATGAAAGTATGAAGAATCATGGAACAAAATACCTTCAATATTTGCAAACTTAGGTGTTTCCCAGTGTTGAGTACTTTGGTAACTAAATTCTACTTGTCATGGTTCAAACCAATGTGTCTACCCCCTTTTGCAATCCGGGTCCCCTGATCGGGCAAGAAAAAAGATGGCTAGTGTGGGCAGAGGTGACTTCGAAAAAGATTTTGAAAATTACGTAACTTGACGCAAGTTGGCAAACTATATTTGCCACTAGTATTGCAAATGAACGACATCGGAACAACCGATTTTTTGGATTGTCTATTTATCTGCTCTTGAATCATCAATACTGATCGATTAGACTTGTGATTTATTTGTGATTTATATATCGTAACATAGCTGTTTATTTATACGATTTGTTTCAGGCATTTCGAACACCGAATTGACATTAGCGCAATGCATCTCTTTTACTCAATGGAGGCAATAACCAGCTCTCGAGTCTCCTGAAAATGTTCACAAAAAGACGGTCAATCAGCCTCCCGAAAGGCCGGAAGCGCTCCGCGTTCGCTCACCGCAGTCTCAGCTTTCCCTCGTATATTGCACTCTAGGAAGCACTTCCCTGTATGCAATGATCCGCACCCAAAAATCACTCCCGTCTGCAGGGTCGTTTTTCTCTTCACAAACTGATTGTTCTCGAATCTCGGCTGACTGGACGGCCCACTCGCCCAAGACCGCATTAAACCTGCCAATTCTGACACATTCGCAGCTTCCTCGCTGGAATGTCACCGGACTACAAATTTGGTGCTTGGTCGAAGCCAGTGACCCACTTACCCCGGAATACGAAGGAAGGACTTACCATTTCCAACATTCTGTGCGGCATGGTCGTCTATTCAAGGGATAGAGAGTCGAACTTTGAGAACGTGCGATTTACAACGCACTTGACTCGCCGCAGACGATATTCTAGGCCCCATCAAAGAAAGGATTTAGTAAGATATCTATGTGGAACTTCCCCAGACACGTTATGCCAAGAGTATGATTAGATATCTGGATTGGTTGCCCTGACCCTGTTGACAACACCTTGAGGGTACTTTAAACGTTACAGGTGTCCAGAATACCCTCGGACAACACAATTGGCACATCTGGAGTCCCCATATTGCTAGCTTGAGGTTACCGCTTGGCTCTTCGATAAATTGCGGAGTGTAACACGCAGGATGACGGGACTGCTCGGTAAAAACGACAACGATATCGAGATCCCTGGTGGTTACATAGAACAGTCCCGCTCCACCAGTTGCTGTATCCGAAGCCTTCTCATATCAAACCCACTGATGCCGCCGAACCCCTGTGTAACTATAGCATAGCATGTGCCATATTCTTCACGGCAATGAGTAGCCACAAT